AAGAAATAGTATATCAAAAATTAAGGCATAACAAAAGAAAATGAACTAAATGGAAATAATAGGAACAAACTTTGCTATATCTCTCCATACCTTTTATCCTTGCAAAGAATCTTTGCTCTCATTACACTGATATACTGCTTTATACAGGGACTTCCAGGGAAGAAATTGTAAACTGAAAACAGAGCCAGGGAAGACAGAACCAATAAAGCCACAGCAGAATGAAGAGCTGGCAAATAGCTCACCTTTTTGTAATTAATGAGGGCATCTTTTGGAAACCTCACACCTTTCTGGACAAGGAGACTACTTGAGGTCGCCCACAAGTACTCCATATAGTTGGTCCTCCTGAAGAAACTGCAAGACAACAGTCCCTGATAGATTTAGATTACTGAGAGATGAGGGAAAGCATATTTCATTCAAATTGCAGTTGGCACCTTTCAGAAGGTCAATGGGTTTGCACAGTTGACAGTTTCTTTTCTAATCACTTTTGGAAATTACTGGTTAAATTCTTTTCAGATTTTAGAAATCTGTTTATTGACAAGTTTGAATCACTGAGTGAGTTTCCTTCAATCCTTATGAAGGGAAGTTTTAAATGCAAGTTTAAGGACTTAAATTCTTTTGAAATAAACAGCAAAAGTGTAATTAGAACTTTGATTTTGGAATGTGACAAGCAGACAACAGGTTGAGACAGATTTGAAATAAAATTTTGGAATTAATTATAATAAAACGTTTCCATGTCAAAGGAGAATTCCATGGTAGGATGATATTTTGAAGGTTAGACATGAGAGGGAACCAGAAGGAACTAAGGTTACAACTAAAGGAGAACAACACTTGAATTTGACTTACAAAATAGAATGGAGCAAAATATCATAACCTTCAACTTACTAAATGATATTTTGGGGCAACCAGAAGTTAATCTTAATTGTGACTGCCTCTATAGATAGACTATGTTTAAAAGATGTTATAGAAAGAAGACTAATCTGAAAGTGGATTTAAAAATGACAGGTTACAAGAATGATATGGAAAAGGATGCTACACTGGATAAATGAAACTAGTTGATTTCTTAATACCATATTTTTGGGAGTATAAGAAGCACCTATATTTTGGGGAGGAAAACAAGGGGGGGAAATCTGCCTCTGCCTCCCAACAATTTGCCTCCTTGCAAAAACAGCAAACAGTACAGATAATATACACTGTTTGTTGTGTATTTGTGTGCATGTGTGCCTAACCCATAGAAATAGCAAAGAATTGGAGAAATGTACATTATGGCAGTATATTAATACCAGAAAGGTTTCTTAAATGTAGTCACATAACTGCTCTCAATTATTTAAATAGATCTACTCCAAACATGACTAAGTCAGGGTCTAATTAGACAACAGGACACTGTTACATTTCAGACTATACTTGTACAGAAACTGTTAAAATTGATGTGGCTTTCTGGAAGTATATGTTATTCTCTGCTGTTTAAAAGACGATAAATAGCACTGGGCCTTTTCAGACCAAGCATTTATTTTAAAAAGCTTTTCCATTTTGTTAAGTTGTCTAGAACAATAATAAAGAAGTCTTTAAAAAATAAGTCTAAAAATTGAACCTTCTATAGGCATTTATAGTTATTGACTTACCTCCTTGCAGCAAACAGCCTGATTAGCATAGGGAAAAAAATCGACATTTGCCTCCCTGCAGCAAATAGCAAGTTTCACTTTCAATTTCAGCATGGGCCTCCTGATCATCAGCTGTTTCAGGCTGCAGGGATTGCCATAGCCTATTGCCGCCTTTGCAAGCCCCATTTTCCCCGTTTGCTGGGAGGCAGAGGCCAAAGGGTGGGGGCCAATGGGCGTGGGGGCCTACATTCAGTATATAAGACGCACCCAAATTTTCACCCTCTTTTAGGGGGGAATAAGGTGCATCTTATATTCTGAAAAATATGGTAATTAAAATAAACCAAAAGAGTGACTTGGATAACTTTCCTATATTGGGATTACAAAAGAAACTTATTAAAGGTTTGAAGAATTTTATGAGAAGTAACAAAACATGAAAAAAACCAAGTTCTAGATCTAGAACACTTTTGAAAGATTTAAGGATTAAAAATTTTAAAAGTAAAAACAAGGAATATAAACTTGGCTTATTTGATCAAAGTTAAAAAAGATGTTTCACTATTTTTCTTCTATTTTTTTTTGAAATTTTTTCTTTTCAATTGCAATTTTTAGTAATATTACTATTAAAAAGATGTACTGATTCATAAATTGGCTTTTATTCTTTAAACTTTTCATTGCTTTTTTTGAGGATTTCATCAGCCCCATCCAGCTGCAATTTTCTTGGCCTTCCCCTTCCTCCCTTCATATTTCCTGCATATATTTGTTTGGAATTCAGTCCATTGTTCTGTTTAATCAACATATCGTATTTTTGGTGTATAAGATGCACCTTTCTCCCCCCCAAAAAAGAGGGTGAAAATCTGGGTGTGTTTTATATACTGAATACAGCATTTTTGGCCTCCCGAACTCACCCACCCCTTCACAAAAATGGACGTGCATAGGCTTGGGGAGGTCTGCAAAGTGATCCTGAAGGCTGGGGAGGGCAAAAACGAGTGAAAAATGGGCCACATTTTGCTTGTTTTTGCCACCCCAGAAGCACTCTACAAGCCTCCCAAAGCCTATGCAATGCCCTGGTTATTTTTGCAAAAAAATGGGCCCATTTTTGCGTAAAACTGGCCTCTTTTATTTTTGCTCTATCTAGCCCCTAAGAGCACTTTGCAGGCCTCTCAAACTTTCAGCATGCCTAGTTTTTCACAGAAAACACGTGCAGAGGGTTACGGAGGCCTACAGAGTACAAAAACGTTTTTAAAAAAATTACCTCTTCAAAATCTTGGTGTATCTTATATTCTGATGCATCTTATAGTCCAAAAATACGGTACTTCTTCATGCTGGTCATTTTTTATCTAATCCATTTTCATTCATTGGCCATTCATATTCTTGCTTTAACACACACACTGCTAAAATACCCTATATCCACTGCATTCAGTTTATCAGGGGAGATGGATAATTAATGAATCAGTCATAGGAATGGCTTGTAAAGGGATAACAATCCTACAAAAAAGAAAGGAGAAAATCAAGCAACCGGGCAGAGAAGCAGAAGAATGTAACATAAATGTCCAGTCCTCTTAGGAGGTTTATTACTGAATGAATTCCAGGGCCTCGCCATTGATGTTTTTAGACTCCTGGGTGAAGAACAAGAAGCTTTGGTGATTAAGGAAATCTTCCCTGAAGATTCTGCAAAGGCTTTTGACAAATATTTCTTCCTGTAGATCCATGTGGAAACAAATGACACAGCCTTGAAGACACTTCAAGACACTGATATATTGGGCAGGAAGATAAAGTAAACAGAGGCACAAGGTGTATCTTAATTATTAATTTCACCCTGCCAAATAATAGGATTCAGGAAGAAGAATTGGAAATAAACAACTGACTATGGAGATGATGCCCTTATAAATAGTTTGGATTCTTTGCCAAAATGCATTTCTGAAGTGTAGAATTTCAAGCAAGAGAATCTCTCAGGAAAACCAGAAAGAATATATTTTGGAAGATGCCCTGTAAATCTTATTTTGGAGGTGGGGGGAATTTTAAAACAACCCTGTGGAAAAACCGGGTGGGGGAGAGGGAGATGCTGGAAAACAGTACAGTGTCAAGAATTGGGGCTTGGAAGAATAGGCAACATATGAAGGCATTGAAAAAAGAGCATGTAAGCAGAAGAAGGAATAGTCCAGTTATATGATCAAAAGATTCCTTTCTTCTTATACAAATTCACAGGGCATAGGAAACAAACAAGATCTACATGTCTTAGTGCAGAGAGGCAAACGTGTTTTAGTAGATATTATTGAAAGCAGGTAGGATGAATTTCATGAGTGGACTACAAGAACTTAGAGCCGTGATGGCGAACACAGGTGGCATGCAGCGCCCTCTGTGGCATGCGAGCTGTCGCATTAGTTCAGCTCCACCTCACATGCGCTTGTGCCTCCTGCCAGCCAGATGGTCCTTAGGGGTCTGCTGTGCATGTGCAGGGCACACGCGTGTACGGGGGCAAGAGGTGTGTGTGCACATTGCATTTTGGGGGTTTGGGTGCACGCATGCACACACGCTTTGGGCACTCACTCCAGAAAAGGTTAGCCATCACTGACTTAGAGTATATTTTATTCAAGAAGAATAGACAAAAATAAGATTAGGCATATATGAAGGAACAGTACATCTGTGTTAACTGCAGTCAAAACGACTCACTAGCTTGCAATCTATATGTTCAAAAATTAAAACATCCACAATTAGGTTAAAGCCAATCCAAAACATAATAAGGGCAGCAGTAAGAATTACACCAGTTCCCACCTTAAAGCAGCAGAAAGTAAAAGCAGAAAGCAAGATGACATTGGATATATCTTAGGGAAAGGCTCTCTGGAATGTGTTTGGAAACTGCAGCAGGAGCTAAATATTACAGCTAGACTTGGGCCCTCTGCAGACTATTATAGGGTCTCCTTTATATTCCAGACACAACTTTATAGTTTAAATGCCCTACATAGTTTTGGATAGAATTGCTTCACTTGGATCTTCCCACTATCAATGGCATTGTTGTAGAGCACATTACTTGGAAAGGCTGTTTATGGGATTTCTCCCCTCTTGCCAATGAATTTTAAAATGGTTGTTACATTGTATATCATTACAGTAGTCAAGTAGATAGCGTGATGAATCAAAGGATTAATTAATGATTAGGTGTAAGCGGTGGTTCATAACATTTCAATCAAATAATTTAGGCTTTAGAAAAATTTTACAAGTTTTAAAATCTTCAGAAATAAAACATTTTCAAATGTTAACATTTTAAATTTCATGTGGATGAGCTCTTAACCATGTAGCTATTGTTGTGATGTCCAGCATATAATTGAGAATGTTTAAATGTTCATGTTACCTTTTCACAATATTGGTAGTATTTTGTGTATGATTGTTTCTCTGGAATTGGGTCCCCAGGTTTCTTGCCAAACCCTGTGCTGTGCATGTTGACATTCAAGACAATAAACCACGCAGAGCTCAATCTAATGCAATTTTAGAAAAAGTGTTTACATCCATCACTAAAGTAAGTTGTTCTGCATTTAGTTCCTTGGGGCAAGTGCTATGATATAAAATGATTTGGTATTCTTTTCTTATTGTGGAATTGTAGTATGGAAGAAGTATGTAAGCTTTTAAATTATTTAAAATTAATTTAAGTTGGTCTAAATAATTACTTTTATCTTTTAATTCACTCCTTTAATTTATTCTTTTGTTTTTTGTTACTGCCTATTCTCTGCCCTCCCTCAATGTCAGACTCATATTGTATATATGTATGTTGTAAGAGTCTAGTAAATATTTAATAACTAATTATTCTTAAAATAAGGATTTCTAACTGCATTAGATAGAGGGGGAAAGATAGGAAGTTTTTTGTGTAGGCTTCCTGCTTATGTGGAACATGCAAATACATGTGCTTCTTTTGCACATCTATAGTCTTTATACTGTTTATGATATATATCATAGTTGGGGTTGCCCTGTATCATTTTTGCTTAGTGGAGAAATAAGATTTTAATCTAGTGCAACAAGAGACCTGAAACCCACTTCCATAGACGCCCAAAAAACAAAAACTCCATACCTCTGCCTGAGTATTACATCCAGATTTTGCTGAGAAAATTGCAGGTACAGTAATCAGAATGATTTACTTGGAGAAGTGTCTGTAATTGTGAAGAAAAGACTTCAGCAGTACTGAATATATAGGTAACCCTCGACTTACAACCATTAGTTTAGTGCCTGCTCAAAGTTACAATAGCATTGAAAAAAGTGACCTATAACCATTTTTATACTTACAACCATTGCAGCATCCCCATGATCATGTGATCAAAATGTTGATGCTTGACAACTGGCTCATATTTATGATGGCTGCCTTGTCCCAGGTCACATAATCAGCTTTTGTGACCTTCTGATACACAGTCAATGGGAAAGCCATATTTACTTTACAACTGTGTTACTAACTTAACTATTGCAGCGATTCACTTATTGTGGCAATAAAAGTAATTAAATGGAGCAAAATTCACTTAACAACTATCTTGCTTAGCAACAGAAATGTTGGGCTCAATTGTCATAAGTTGAGGACTACCTGCTTTTGAAAATAGTTGGAAGTTTTTCTGGTATAATTGTGCAAGGACTTTGTTTCTCAGACTGAGTATTTCCTCTGTTTGCCTTTCCTAGCAAAACATACAGTTCCAGGTAATATCCAGCAGGTTGCGGACTGAAAGGCAATTGGGCAGAACCTATTTTAGAAATGTGATAAGCCAAACAAAAGAGAGCTCTTTTTATACCTGTTTGATCATCTCCTAGTGTCCAGATGCAAGACGGTTAGAAGGTTTGTCCAAACAACTAGATTGGGATGTCCGAAAAATCCAGCGCTGGTTTCGACACCGGAGGAACCAGGATAAACCCAGCACCCTTACAAAGTTCTGTGAGAGCATGTAGGTTTGTGTGAAGAGTTTGAATTCTTTATTTTAAAAGTAAAATAGATCAAATAGAATTTCAGAATATAGAATTAGTAATGCATAATATAAAAATAGTATCTTTATAACATTTATACCAGTAGAGATACCTAGAGTGGTAAAGACACCCTCAACAGAAAGAACTGTTGAAGACACAATCCTATATCTGGATCTCTTCCACATTATCCAAACTGTGGTATATCTTAGTTAATGCTATCTCTTCTTAGTTATTCAGTAGAATTTACAGCTATAAAAACATCTAACTATTTATTTGCAGGATTTGTGTCTTTTATCAAGTTGCCTTTTACTGTCTGGGGTTATTTTCCTAAGCATTCTTTTTTATAGACTCTTGTCTCTGTCTTTTCTGTCCTACTTAAATTTATTTTCTCACTTTTTTAATGCATGGCTTGTATCACTATAGTATCTGAGCATTTTGCCTTCCTGCCTGCTGCCTCTATGGCTTCTGCCTCTCTTCCTCATTGACTACTTCCCCAAGATATATACCATAGGTGAGTGGGACTCTCCATCTTCTGTGCACTATAAAAATCTGTTTGATAAATAATAAGAGTTTTCAAAAATTAAAGACATTTTGAATCTGAAATTTTGATTGGGCAAACATTTTCTCTTAGCATGAAGAGATTTACTTTATTATATAACAGGTTTTTTGCTCTTATTAGATCAATATTTGTATGCCATATATTCTTGTTTTTTAATTCTAGGTGGAGGCTTACATTTTATTTATCTATTTTTATATATGGACTCAGATTTCTTTGGTCGGTGAGTATGTTGGACATCTTTAAATTATGTTTAATGAAATGATAATAACTTAATTGCAGGAGTTGATACTTGGTGCTTTTCCCTAGTGTTTTTATTTGGATGCTCAGTTTTTATTTAATTGTTTTAACAGAACTGGAAAAGTAGTTTTCAGTTATGCTTTGTCATAGAAATTCATTTATATTTTTTTATTATAGAACCAGTAGGACTTGTTTGAGAGTTGCAATACATTATTCCTTATAGATCTATAGCACACAAGCATATAGATTTCCCAGTGTCTTGTATGACTGTATCTGCATGTAATTCATTATTAAAGCATTATACGTATATATTGCTCTTCGGTGGTTTAAAGAAAATGCTGAGATTAGATATAAATATATTAAAATTTGATGAAAATATCATTGCTATCCAATTATGGAAGATGTCATACCTTTAAAATGTAATGTTTGTTGATAGGGCTGAATGGATAATTTAAAGGAAATAAGTAACTTGATTTTTAAGTATAATTAAACACTTCCAATCTGAGTTAAACTAAGAAATCAAAACATCTTTCTGAAGCAACCATTTAGATGTTGAAATCCTGAATGCTCTGTATTACTCTATTTTTATTTTTATTGTAGTCACCCTGGTTGTGGGATATACAACAATGCTGGTATAGCTATCCTTTTCAGGTATCCATTTTCTTTAATAATATTTGTTGCAATGCCAATATAATGCTAATTTAATGTTTTATATTGTTGTTTTTATGGTGTTGTAAACTACTGTACTCACTTGATCGTAAAGATGGGTGGCATATAAATTAAATTAATACATAAATACTTTCATAAGATAATTTGGTTTAGGTGCTGTTGCATTTGTGCTGACTATAAATATGTCATTTCCAACATTTCCCCAGCCCCCACTAAAATTCTGAGCTAGCACTGTGTCACTGTAACATTGATAGAGATACTGAGCTTCATGAGTGTCATGAAGTAGTTACAGTGTACCATGATGCTTGAGCACATTAATTTGGACATATTTGATTTTAAAATATATGTGACTTACTATATTAATCATTAAAGTAAATCTGTGGTTCAATATATCTTTTTAATTAGTTCATTTTTTAAAATTAATAAACTGTAACAACATAAAAAATAAAGATACATCAGTGATTCTAGAGTGAAAAAGTGACATACATTATGGTGCTTAAACTGAGCATAAATGAAGAAAAAGTAACTCCATGTACGGTAGTCTTCGAACTAACAACCATTCATTTAGTGACCAACAATATGATCTTGTTGAACAAGGAGACTAACGGCCATTGTCACATCTCCACGATGATGTGATCACAATTTGGGAGGCAATTGTGATGGGTAGTAGTGTCTTATGGATACATGTATGTCATTTGCAATCTTCACTGCTGACTTTCGACAAGCAAAGTCAAGAGGAAGCTGGCAGGAAATCGAAAATAATTGCAAATAAAGATTGACATTGCAAAGTGTACAAGCTTTATGCGATTCGTTTAATAACTGCAATTGCTGGTGTAAGTTGGCACTTTATGACTACATTCTTCATGATGGAGTTGCCAAGGGCCATCTGTAATGAAAGCAGGGGAAGGAGATCTATGTCGTCTCAACAGAAGATTAATTCAACCCTGAAATATATTTTTAAATCTAGATCATGTTGAAATTAATTGCTCCTCCTCCTAATTTTAGAATGTAAACAAAAAAGGGGCAATAAATGCAGATTATTATGGGGTGTGTGTGTTGTATTGTCACTGTAAGAAATTTGAGATCTCTTTAACTTAACATGATTCGTTGTTGTCCAGCCACAGCTTCCTTTTGATTTTATGCTATGGTATACACCATGTGCACAATTATTCCGCAAGTTAATATTTTGACCATATCATCCTTTGTATGCATATTGTCCACTTTCAAGCTGTATAAACATAAATGCTTAGTGAATATAAGCAGATCAGGTGATGTGTATTTGTGTAACAAGGGAGGGTGTGGCCTAAGGAGAGCAACACTATATCAAGGTGTGCATAATTATTAGGCAATTTTTTTGCTCAGGCAAAATGGGCTAAAGAAGAGATTTAACTGAAAAGTCAAAAATTGTAAAAAGTCTTTCAAAAGGATGCAGCACTCTTGAAATTGGTAAGATATTTGGCCATGATCATAGAACCATCAAACGTTTTGTTGCAAATAGTCAACAGTTGCAAGAAACATGTTGAGAAAAAAAGATGCACCTTAACTGCCAAAGATTTGAGCAGAATCAAACATGAAATTACCAGGAACCCATTATCCTCCAGAGCTGTCATATTTCAGAACTGCAACCTACCTGAACTGCCCAGAAGTATAAGATGTTCAGTGCTCAGAGACATGGCCAAGGTAAGGAAGGCTGAAATCCGAACACCACTGAACAAGACACATCAGTTGAAACAGCTGTGCCAAGAAATATCTGAAGACAGATTTCTCAAAGGTTTAGCGGACTGATGAGATGAGAGTGATTCTTGACGGACTAGATGCTCCACTTCAGCTCAGATGCCAGCAAGGCGGAAGCGGGGTACTGGTATGGGATTGTGAAAGATGAGCTAGTTGGACCTTTTTGGGTTGAAGATGGACTCAAAATCAACTCCCAAACCTACTGCCAGTTTTGTGTTTTTTTGCATAATATTTTTATTTCCGTTTCATTCTATACAATCACATGTTTACTGTGCATAACCAGGGCATATAACATTGAGTAATAACCACAACCCTCACTTATATAGAAAGTGTCCCCTACAATACAAACCGAATATACCACCTTGACCCACCATACACCCTCTTTCAACCCCCTCCAACTTTCATTCTTCCTTCTCACATACCCCTCTACACCTACTTCCCCTCCCCTCTATCTAACCCTGACCCTATCACTCCCTCTCTTAATCCATTCCCTCCCTTCCTTCTCCTCCTCCTCTCTCTCACTCTCTCCACCCTCCTTCTTCTTTCACTCAGCTCCTCCCTTCGGTATACTTCTATTACCTTCCAATATATTCGGTTTGTTCTGTTTTAACACTAACATTAAAAAGCCACAGTATACAAGTGCAATCATGTACCTTAAAGTTTAACACATATTATGTTTTCCCCCTCCCCCCTCCCCCTAGATCCCCACCTCCCTTCCCTCCTCCCGACTTCCCAGAGACCATACATGGTATAACTTTTTGACAATCACCGTCTAGAATATCTCTACATTGATCTCAGCTTCCCTACTGCCAGTTTTTAGAAAACACTTTCTTCAAGCAGTGGTACAGGAAAAAGATTGCATCTTTCAAGAAGACTGATTTTTATGCAGGACAATGCTTCATTGCATGCATTAAAGTACTCTACTGCGTGGCTAACCAGTAAAGGCCTTAAAGAGGAAACAATAATGACATCCCCCCCCCTTCCTCACTTGACCTAAACCCTATTGAGAACTTGTGAGCCCTTCTTAAACGGGAGATTTATGGTGAAAGAAAATAGTACACCTCTCTAAACAGTGTCTGAGAGACTGTGGTTGCTGCTGCACAAAAAGTTTATCAGTCAACAGATCAAGAAACTGACAGACTCCATGAGTGGAAGGCTTATGACTGTTATTGAAAAGAAGAGTGGCTATATTGGTCACTGGTATTCTTTTTTGAACTGTCAGAAATTTTTATTTGTAAATCTTGAGTCGTTTGTTTATTATTCTCACTTTAACAGATGAAAATAAATGAGTGAGATGGGAAATTTTTAATTTAATTGCATAATGATTCTGCACACTAATAGTTGCCCAATAATTGTGCACCCATAGATATTCTCCTAAGAAAGCCATAACCTCACTTTTACTTTCTTAAATATTCAGGTTTGAGGTTTATTAACATTTTGGATTGATCGAGAACACTGTAGTTGTTTAATAATAAAATTAATCCTCCAAAATACATCTTACCTAATAATTGTGCACATAGTGTGTGTTAACATGCTGCTGAAAAAAATACAGTAGTTACAGATGTAAATGTGATACTGAATTATACTCCTAAAATATGGGGTTTGACATTTTATGAAGAGCTTTGGCTTTATTGAGCTTGGAACGCAGCTGAGAGAATAGTTCTATATAAGAATTGGATATCTGGTTTAATACAGGGGCCAGCAACCCATGGCTTTGGAGCCACATTCATCCCTCTTCTGTAGCTCCCTGTTGCTGATCAGCTCCAAAATTGATAGGGTTTTCAGTTAGGATAGGTAGAGGAAAAAGGATGCCACGCTAGGAGGAGACTCTATGGAGGGGGAACCAGACTTCCAGTTGGCAGAGGAAAAAGGATGCTGCACTAGGAGGAGACTCTGTGGTGGGGGAACCGGAGTTGGCTCCAGAATTGAAGGGGGGGGGTGCTTCCATTTAGGACATTTGTGGCTCTTTGAATGTTTAAGGTTGCCAACCCCTGGTTTAATTCATCTTGGTTTAGGGGACCTCTAATATCAAGCATACAGTTTTCATCCAGCCTCCCTATTTAATAACTCACCCATAAAATTGAAGGGCTTTCCATTGAGTTAAAGGTAAAGGTTCCCCTTGCACATATGTGCTAGTCGTACCCGGCTCTAGGGGACGGTGCTCATCTCCATTTCAAAGTCGAAGAGCCAGCACTGTCCAAAGACGTCTCCGTGGTCATGTGGCCAGCATAACTAAACTCCAAAGGAGCACAAAACACTGTTACCTTCCCACCAAAGGTGGTTCCTATTTTTCTACTTACATTTTTACATACTTTGGAACTGCTAGGTTGGCAGAAGCTGGGATAAGTAACAGGAGCTCACTCCGTTACGCGGCGCTAGGGATTCGAACCACCAAACTGCCGATCGACGAGTTCAACCTCTTAGCCACTGAGCCACCGCGTCCCTTTTTCCATTGAGTTAAAGATCCATTAAATTGAAGTTTGGCTGCAAATAGTTTTATCAATTTGATCATTGTGCAAATAATGCAAATGAACACAAATGATATAAGGTTAGATTTAATGGAACTGCCTCCTTTCCCTGAATGATTTATTAAATTAGAGGAAATAGGGCTGGAGGTTTTCTTTGGGTTATGCATTTAACTAGTGGCGTTTTCATTTCATATCATTCACTCAAACAACTCACGTAAAAATTGTTCGTGCAGAAGAATTTCAAGAAAATATTAAAATTTTGATGTTGAATGCTGCTTGGTATTTTCTTTTTAAAATATGTTTTGAAAGGGAATACTCAGCCATCCAAAGCAAACACAGGACATTAATATGCCTCTTTTCATGGTCCTCAGTTAAATGAAACAAGCATTGTTAATTACTAGTCAGGCATATTGTGTTTAATGAGCTAAGGAAGATATGCAAGTACATTCTTTCTTCCAACCATTTTCCTGTTATTCTTCCATCTCCTATTCTTACATCCTTTATTGCCTTAGAGATGGCTGAGTTCATTTTTTTTGGACATCCTTTTGCTCCCTAGTCAGCATTGAAACACATATTTCAGGGATGAGGATAAATAAGTGCCTCCCTCCGCTTTATTTCAGTTAGTTCTGAAAGGGGTAAATGCTCTCTACAGATATTACTCGACTTACAAACTTTTGAGTTGTGAACTTTTGCTGATATGAACAAACATGTCCTCAGTTCTAATTTAGAAAGTCCCAGAAGTCAGGAGAAGGTGGGACAGGGTTAGTTTATGATGTACTTCATACGTATGCTTGGCAGTACTGTTGCATGAACCATCTGTTGAGAAGGACAGCTGCATCCCACATCTGAGGTCATGGAGCCAATGTCAGCTCATGAGGGTGGAAGTGGACAAGGACTTGCCCAAAAGAGGGTCTGGGCGCCCTAGGAGGGGAGAGGGTCACCAAGGTGAGGAATACCTGCTTGAATACCAATCTGAGTGGGTTGGTCTGCAGAGTCCACAGTTGATCAGGTGGTGAAGTAAAAAAACAAGTTGAGGTGCACCATGCCCACATCTCTCCTGAATACCCCCAGAGAGGCTTTCAGTAGGGAAATGCCCCACCATCATCAGGAGAATGTCCACTTGGACATTCTGTGTGAGAGACAAGAGGAAGCCAAGAGTAATTCTGCCTGTTTTTAATGCTTGTTGTGAACAAAATGAACTTATTAACAGCCTCTAGGAACATAACCCATTCGTAAGTAGAGCAACATCTCTATTGCCATGCTCATCCTGTATCATGAAGTTCTGTGGGGAAGGCATTGCAAACATCAATTTTCACCTGCTCACCAAGAGCTTTTAATAGGAAAGAAGATGCTGCTTTGCTTTTTTGCTTTTGCCATCTATGATATACCATGTTTTTTGGAGTATAAGACACCTTTCCCGCCCAAAGGGTGAAAATTTGGGTGTGTCTTATACACTGAATACAGCATTTTTGGCCTCCCGAAACCCCACCCCATGCATCCCGTTTTTCACAAAAAATGGATGTGCAGATGATTTAGGAGGCCTGCAAAGTGCTCCTGGGGGCTGGAGAGGGGCAAAAATGAGGGGAAAACGGGCCTATTTTTTGCAAAAACGGGGTGTTTTTGCCCCCCCCCAACTCCCAAGAGCACTCTGCAGGCCTCCCCAAAACTGCATGCCCCATTTTTCACAAAAAAATCAGGCATGCAGAGGGTTTGGGAGCCCTGCAGAGTGCTCCTGGCGGCTGGAGAAGGCAAAATTTTTTTTAAAATTTACATCTTCAACATCTTGGTGCATCTTATACTCCGGTCCGTCTTACACTCCGAAAAATACAGTAGATATATTTTCTTACATCTTAACATCATTTCAGAAGAATATTATGGTTGTGATCCTACCTCCCACTATTTAAAGACTGATAGCAGTTTTTGCACAGATAAGAATAAGACAGATTTAATAAATAAGAGATTTTATTTTATTTAGCAATATAGCAATAGCAGTAGACTTATATACCGCTTCATAGGCCTTTCAGGCCTCTCTAAGCGGTTTACAGAGAGCCAGCATATTGCCCCCAACAATCTGGGTCCTCATTTTACCCACCTCGGAAGGATGGAAGGCTGAGTCAACCCTGAGCCGGTGAGATTTGAACCGCTGACCTGCTGATCTAGCAGTAGCCTGCAGTGCTGCATTTAACCACTGCGCCACCTTGGCTCATATTTAGTTTTATCCCACTTTTATTATTGTTATAAATAAACCAAGACTGTGAACACATTTAATATTCTTTCCTCCTATTTTTTCTTCAACTATCCTGAGATAGTAACTGACCCAAAGTCACCCTGCTGGTTTTTCATGCCTAAAGTGGAATTAGAACTCCTAGTTTCTCGCTTGATGCCTTAACTAATGGACCAATCTATGTTGGACGAGCCATGTAAATAAAATTACTTTTCTGTTTTTCAGCCGATAACAGCTGGCATTTATTACTATTATGTCATCGAACTGGCCTTTTACACGTCTCTTATGTATTCACAGTTTACTGATATTAAACGAAAGGTAAGAAACAAGTTTTTTTCTAAGCACCTAAAGGAATCCTTTTTAGTTAGTTAGGTTGAAAAAAATCTGACCATAATAATAGCAATACAACTGTATGTCCTTGATTAAATACTATAGCAGATTACACCACAAGTCAGAAGGGTTAAAATATCTCAATTTGGCTAAAGCAGTAATTCTAAAAGTTACATCTGGAGTATTCGGCTGTAGCACTAAATAAATTGCTTAATTCTTTTTCAGAAAATGTCTGCTACCGTAGATGTTTTAATTTTTAAAAAAAAATCACTAAGTTTAAATCAGGGAGGCTGATTTAAGATGAGCGTTGTAGGATTGGTGTTTCTCATTCTTTAACATTACTAAAATTGCAAAGGTTGTGAGCAGTCTTCCTTCTTCAGAAGGGATTTCTAATGTTGGACACTTATTTCAGGACAAACCTATGAAAGGCTATCCAACATTCACACAAACTCCACAAGTAAGATTGGTGGGCTCTTAAAGAAAGATCAATAGTCCCGCTCTTCCATCAGAGGTTTTCTCCCATAAAATGAAATGCTACCCTCTTCAAACTAACTGCCTTGATAAAGAGAAAATAATTATATTCTGGGATTAGGATTGTTTTCTGACTCCTTGCAGCAGAGGAACTACCTAAAAGTCATTTTTTTCTCCACAAAATACTAAAGAGCTTTGAAAACTTAATCACGCTTTGGAAACTAGTCAGGGCTTCTGTCATACCTTTATAGGAAACAGTATAGTCTCTTAAGAGCATAACTGAGTAAGATTTGAAAACCAGCTCTTGGTAATTAGTCTTAACTTGAAAGTATATTTTTGTGCCATCCAGCAGTTAGCACGCCATAAAACCTTTTCAAACTTGGGTTATTCTGAATGCTTCTTTTTGTCAGAGTACATTAATTCCTTGATCATTATAGCTATTTCTATCCTGTTTCCTCTAAATTCAGGATTTCTTCATGATGTTTGTCCATCATGTGGCTACTGTTGCACTCATTATCTTCTCCTACATAAACCATATGGTGCGAGTAGGTACTTTGGTCTTATGTCTCCATGATTCAGCAGATATATTATTAGAAGTGAGTACTCCAGGTTTTATTATTTAATACCATAATTCAGTCTACAGTATTGATTTCCTTACCATTAATTTTTATGAGATTTTTGTTCCCTCACAAAAAAGAGAGATTAAAACAATGTGCTATACTATGTATACATAGCATGATTATTTGTAAGTAGTCCATTTAAGGCAAGAGTGCCCTTTAGAAATAATTTGTGAATGGCCTAGTACTTAAGGCACCAGGCTAGAAAACTAGAGATCAGGAGTTCAAGTGCTACTTTAGCCATGAAGGCCAGCTGGGTGACCTTGGGCCAGTCACTCTCTCAGTCCAACCCATCTCACAGGGTTGTTGTTATGGAGAAAATAGGAGAAGATGTGTAGGATATGTTTATCACTTTGGGTTGTTTGTAAAAATAATAAAGATGGGATACAAATAGATAATCATCTAAACATGCTTAAATGACCCTTCATCAGAGGTGGGTTCTACTAGTTCGGACTGGTTCAGCTGAGTAGGTAGTAACTCGGCCTGCCACACCCCCGAACCGGTTCTATCGGCGGTGCCATAGGCGACACCATCTTGTTTTTTGCTTCTGCGCATGCGCAAAAGCATTTTTATAGTGCTGCACATGCATGCATAGCACACGCATGCATTGCGTTCCGGAGTGAACCCGCAGTAAAAGCAGCCAAAAACTACCCCTGCCCTCCGTGTCAATCACTATTAACAGCAAATACTTTGATACGTAAGGAGCATTTGTTTAGAATATATACTGTCACTACAGGTAGTCCTCATTTAGCCACTGCTTTATTTAACAGCCATTTGCAGTGATGAAAAGGCAATTTGGCAACCAGTCCTCGCATTTATGGCCTTTGCAGGTCTGTAAAGCAAAATAAAGCTGAGTTAAAATGATAAACACAGGAAGGAGAGAAGGAAGGAGGGAATGTAGGAGGGAAGGAAGGAGGAAAGGAAGGGGGAAAGGAAGGAGAGAAGAAAGGAAGGAGAGAAGGAGAGAAGAAAGGAGGGAGAGAAGGAGAGAAGAAAGGAGGGAGGGAAGGCGGAAGGAGGGAGGGAAGGAAGGAGAGTAGGAGAGAAGAAACGAGGG